GAGGTGACAGAGTGCGCTTCCATGCCCAACCTCTGGCTTTGGAATGGAGACAGAGTTTCCGTTTACTGTGGATTCCTGCCTGACCTGGAACTCCCGTGTGTGTGTGTGTGTGTGTGTGTGTGTGTGTGTGTGTGTGATGTGGGCATGCACAAAAGTCGGTAAACAACTTATGGGAGTCGGCTCTCCACTACCATGTTGCTCCGTGGGCTCAAACTCAGGTGTTCCTGCTTGGCAGCCATGGCCTGTATTATTTCATCAGCTCGCCAGCCCCTGGCGATCCTCCTGCACTGCCTCCCTCGTGCTGGGATTGTATGTGTGGACATGCCCACCCTGCACCCTGCTCTTCCTTAACCTCCACTGCCAAGCCTTTTCACCATGTACGGTCCAGAACACGACAGTGAATATCCACACGCACTCAGGCTCAGTGAGGCTGAACGTGATGGCCGCAGGGAAGAGACGTGTGGGTAGAGGGCAGTCAGGGTGGCCTAGTGCTGCAGTAACCCTGTATCTGGTTGGCTCATTGCATATTGTCAAGGGGTTCTCTCCTCTCTGCTCATCAGTGTTGCCGTCGCCTGGGGAATTGGGCTGACGGAGGCTGTCTTCATCCATTTTCTTGTATGTTGCAGTTTGGTGGTGGTGCTGTTTGTTGAGGGTTTCTTTGGTTTTGAGACAGGATCTAGATCTCCATATCCCAGGTTGGACCAGAACTTCCTGTGGTACCAAAGATGACCTTGAACTCCTGATCTTCTGCAATGGGATGATAGGCATGAGCCAGTAGGCGCAACTTTTTCTTAGTCCATTTTCTGTGGCTGTAACTGATGATCATAGAACGTCACTTGCCAAGAAGGCTGTGGAAGCTAGGAGGACCCCATCTGGTCGGCATCTTCAAGGCCTTCATGGCATGACGATGGGATTGAGGGTACCTCGTAGCTTGACAGCTTTTTAGAATGCACTTGACAACAAAGCAGTGACCCTGTGTCTTATAAGGCTGCTGTGATGTGACACCATGCCAAAAGCAGCTTGGGGAGGAAAGGGTTGATTTACTCTGCACATTATCACAGTTCACTGGGAAAACCAAGGCAGAACTCAAAGCCCCCGCCCAGCAGGAACCTGGAGCTGGAGCTGAAGCAGGGGCCCTGGGGGGTGCTGACTGCTCCTCTGGGCTTGCTCGGCCTGCTTTCCATGACCACCAGGGTTGGCACCACTCACCATGGACTGTGTGTGCTCCTATGTCACTAATTGAGAAAATACCCTACAGGCTTGCCTGCAGCCAGATCTTAGGGAGTTTCCCTCCCCTCAGATGACCATAGCTTGTCAAGTTGACATAAAACTAGCCAGCACAAGCCGGGCAGTGGTGGCACACACCTTTTGTCCCAGCACTTGGGAAGCAGAGTCCGGGGAGCTCTGGGTTCGAGGACAGTGAGGGCTACACAGAGAAACCCTGTCTCGAAACAAATAACAAAAACAAGCCACCGTATGTTCTTTATTTTATTATGTAAGCGTGTATGGGCACTTGAGGCCAGGAGAGGATGCTGGGTACCATGGAACTGTGCCCACCATGGCTGCCGGGAACTGAAGCCAGGTCCTGTGCAATGCTTTTAATCTTGAGTCCTCTTTGCAGTCCCATGTTTTGAAAGTTTTTTGGAGACAGAGTCGTGCTGGGAGCGGTAGGTACACCTTTAATCAGCCTTGTCTGTATCTTGTTCCAGGCCAGGGCTACATATTATAGTATACTTAGTAAGACTCTGAAAAACACAGGGAGAGTGACTAACCCTGGCTGACCTGGAGCTCACTGTGTAGCCCAAGCTGTTCCAGAACTTTCTGTGATCCTCCTGCCCAGCCTTTAAGTGCTGAAAGGCCAGGCCCAATGAATTAAAGCTCCAGCTGGAGATACCAACATTGTGACTGCAGCGGTTAAGTTTCCAACACAGAAAGTGAAGGAGATAAAGTCACAACACAGGTCCACTTCCTGCACACCCAGAAGGAACCTTCGCTTTCCACTCTCGAGTCATTGGCCAAAGCAAGACATACAAGCATGGGGGGGGGGGGGCAGGCAGGGGATGCTTAGGATTCTACAGGAAAGGCTGGGGACAGGCTAGAGACCACAAGGACCATCTGTCTCAGGAAGAGACAGAAGTACACAGGGTTGGAGGTGTGAATCCGCAGTAGAGCCCCTGCCTAGAATCCCCTAGTAAGGGGCTGGGACATGGTTCAACAGTAGCATGTCTGCCTAGCATGTGGGAAATCCTGGGTTTAATCCCTAGAACGACACAAAAAGAAGATACCTTGTATTGTCCAGTTTATTCCCTCATCTCTCCGTTTAGGGTAGGAAAAGCTTCACATTGTAGAGGACTAGGGGCTAGCCAAGCTCACAGTGACAAAGCCAGTACTAGCCTGACACCTGTCAGACTGGTTGTGACAAATTCCCTGAAGCTTTGGCGCTCTAAGAACACTGCTAACGAAGCTAACCATGGCCTGCGCACCCCACCATCTACTCAACAGCGGCGCACACAGAGCACAGGGGAGCAGGATGGGCGGGGTGGATGCAGAGACCGCTGACTGGTTGTTTTGGAAAGCCCACACTGGCTTCAGTCTCATAGCGAAGGATGATTTTGCTGGGACTACAGGTGTGCACTGCCCAGTCTGGTCTCTGCCATGCTGGAGATGGAGTGCCGTGCCAGACTGTGCCATCTACAGCCCCAGGATCTCGAGATGAGGTCACCATACATTACCTAAGTTGACCCTAAGTCCAAGAACAAGCAACCTCTGAGACTCACAGAGAAGACACAACGGAAGCATGTACTGAGAGGGAGGGAGAGATCAGAGGGAGGGAGCTGGCGCCTAAGCAACAATGCCAGGCGCTGTGGTACCCGAGCTCTTCCCCCTGGGCCCTGCAGAGGGGCCAGTCCGACTTCCAGCCTATGAACATAACGGGGATAACATTTTCCCCCCCTTGAGGTAGGGTTTCTCTGGGTAGTCCTGGAACTCGCTCCCTAGACCAACCTGGCTTCAGACTCAGAGATCCATCTGCCTCTGCCTCCTGAGTTCTGCGGTTAAAGGCGTGTGTCACCACTGCCTGGCTGGGGATAAGTTGTTTCCAACCACTGAATTTGTAATCTCTTGTTAAAGAGCAGGAAGCTAACAAGGGTTGTCCCAGATCACAGTGGTGGAAACAAAGGATGCTGGGAAAAGGGTTGCAGAGGCTCCACATCATCTCTGGGACTGTGGTCCAGCTTTTGCTGGAAAGACTGGGGATCCTGGGGGCTGAGACCAGCATCATCTTCATCATCATCTGGTTTTTTGAGACAGGGTCTCATGTAGCCCAAGCTAGGCTGAAACACAGGAGAAGACCTTTCTGGTGTTCAGGGTTCACACACTGGGGTCCTGGCAGATAGGCAGAGTCCCTGGACCTCCAATAGGTGGCTGAGTTGCCACTCAAACTGGCAATCAACGTGCTGCCCTTAGCCTTTTCTTTCTTAAACTTTATCTGTGTTGTGTGTATGCAAGTGCCATGATTTTCACATGAAGGCTCTCTGCCCCGCTTGTGGATCCCAGAGATTTAATTCAGATTATCTGCCTGTGAAGTTGGTGCCTTCGCCTGATGAGCCGTTTTGCCAGCCAGCTTTGGTTTTGTCTGGTTGGTTGTTTGGTTGGTTGCATTTTCTTTTGTCTTACGATCTTGAGACAGGGTCTCAGTGTGGAGTCTAGGCAAGTCTAGAGTCTGCTGTGTAGACCAGGCTGGCCTTGAACTCACAGAGATCCATCTGCCTCTGCCACTCCTGGGTACTGGGACTAAAGGTGGTATCACTATGCCCTGCCTATTTTGAGGCAGGGTCTTATGTAGCCAAGGCTAGCCTTGAACTCCCGATCCTCCTGCCCCCACTGTAACATTTTTTCCATTCTTGGTCATTTGGACACAGCCTGCTTCCTTCTGAATCACCTCAGCGGGAACTCAGGTGCAGCCTGGGTCCAGCCCTGACCAACAACAGCACTCCCCATACTTGGAAAGTCCCGTGGACCAAAACCAAACCGAGACAGGGCCTGCTGCCTCTCAGATACCCACCGGTGTGCTTGATGCTGCACCCAGGCAGGTATAGTTCTCGGTACAAGGGCTTTGCAGGGCGGAAACAGTCTCTGAAGAGACCAAGACAGTGGGGAAGATAAGTAAACCACAGGGTGTGTTCAATGCTGATAAGAGCAAAGCAGGCTGAGTCCCCTGCAAGGGGGAGGGTGTCGTGAAGCCTCTGCCGAGTGTGCTAAGCGAAGACTTGGATGAGATGGGGGGGACATAGGCATCTGGAAGGGAAGGGTATTCCCCACAGCGAGGGAACAGCCAGGTGCGAAGGCTTTGGGGTAAGAGTACGCCCACCTCACACACACCAAGGATGGCTAGCGTTGGAAAGAATGTAGCATGAGGTTAGCAGGGAGAGGTTAGGACAGCACCGGGTCAAATACTGCAGATCTGGAGGGGCGAGTCAAGGGTCTGGAGCATGCCAGGCCAGTTCTCTGCCACTGACTCGCTGATGGGTTCTAGGCAGCCGCTCTCCAACTGAACTGTGTGTCTGTCCCTCCTTGCTTTTTCAAATAAGGTCTTAGTAAATTGCCCAGGCCAGCCTTGAACTCACACTATGTCCAGCCTCCAATCTTCAGTCCTCCTGCCTCCAAGGCTTCTTGGTAGCTGGGGTGACCGGTCTGCACCATCACTGCCCCGGCTGAAGCCTAGACTTTTATCTGGAAAGAATCAGGAACCCAGAGACTGGAGAGATCCGCCTGACAGGTTCACAAGGTCTGCGCCCCTACGAGCAGCTGGGGACTCGGCAGTAGGGAGCTCAGAAAGGGGGCCGCTTGCCAGTCTTTGTGGGAGACGGGGAGGCGAGTCCAATATAGTGGCAGCGGATTTGCTGGGCTCTGGTCCGTTTCTATTTACACTTCGAAGCTGGAAGGCCTGGTTGCCACCTGGCCCGTTCCCCCCTGCGGCTGTCCCAGCTGAGGCCTGTGGCCGCGCCACTTGTTACCACTAGGTGGCGCGTGCTGCCCGGGCACGAACTCACCCCTTTGCACTGTCTCCCCCAAGCTTCCTTTCACTTTCGGTCTTTGGCTGTCACCCAGCTTGGTCGTTCCACACCCAGCTGGGGCAAGCCTGGTGCGTGGGGTGCATGGCTTTCCAGGTCCCCGAGGGGCGGTCCCAGGGTCCCCCTCCTGGGCCGAGGGAGCAGGGTGCCAGGCCTGGGGAGGGTTCTGGGGACGGGACCGACTGTCGGGGGTCTTAGAAGGGGAGGTGACTTTTCACCGTAACTGGGGCTCACGCAGGAAGCCTGAGGGAGCAGCAGGCGGAAACGCACCCACTTCAAAGGCGGCAGGGCGGGGCGGCGGGGCACAGGGGCGAGCAGGGAAGGGGGGGCTGCAGGGTTCGAGGCCTGCCCTTCTGTCCCTTCCAAGACCCTGCCACAGGCATGAGGGGTCCCCGGCCGAGATGACAGTGCTGGCGCCAGCCTGGAACCCAAACGTGCGTATAGCTGAGAGGTGATGGAGCGGGGTGGAGAAGGGAGATGGGCAAGGGGTGGGGGTCTGGAGGGACAGACCCAGGGCAGCGCCAGAAGAGAGAGCGAGCGTGGTGCAGGGTGAGATGGAGATGGATGGACACAGGTTGGCCTCACCAGCCAAGGTGCAGGACAGGCAGAGACAGGGAGGGTAGCACCCGGAGAAGGAAGGAAACGGGATACAGGGAGCCCCGGTGTGGTGTGTGTGGAAGTCACGCTGTCACCCGCCTCCCCGTAGCCCTCGCTGCTGCTGCTGCTGCTGCTGCTGAGTCCTTGCCTGCGGGGGACACCTGACTGCTACTTCAGCCACAGCCCCATCTCCTCCAACTTTCACTTGAGGATCCGCGAGTTGGTGAGCCGGCTCCCACCCAGGCCAGGCCGGCTCTGCCCTGTCTCAGTTTCTGCCACGGTGGGGTGTCTGTTCCTCTCTCTCTCTGGATTGCTGCCACTGTCCCTGGATCTCCCAGAGTGGGTCTCTGCCTCTGTCTCTGCCTCTCTGGGTTTCTTCCTCTGGGTCTCACTGAGTCCTTGTTCTGTCTCTGTCTGTCTGTCTCTCTCTCTGTCCCCCCTCTCTGTCTGTCTCTCTCTGTCCCCCCCTGTCCCCCTCTCTCTGTCCTCCCTCTCTCTGTCCCGCTCTTTCTGTCCCTCTCTCTGTCCCTCTCTCTCTGTCCCCCCTCTCTCTGTCCCCCCTCTCTCTGTCCTCCCTCTCTCTGTCCTCCCTCTCTCTGTCCTCCCTCTCTCTGTCCCCCCTCTCTCTGTCCTCCCTCTCTCTGTCCCCCTCTCTCTCTCTCTGTCCCCTCTCTCTGTCCTCCCTCTCTCTGTCCCCCCTCTCTCTGTCCTCCCTCTCTCTGTCCCCCCCTCTCTCTGTCCTCCCTCTCTCTGTCCCCCTCTCTCTGTCCCTCTCTCTCTGTCCCGCTCTTTCTGTCCCTCTCTCTGTCCCTCTCTCTCTCTGTCCCCTCTCTGTCCCCCCTCTCTCTGTCCTCCCTCTCTCTGTCCTCCCTCTCTCTGTCCCCCTCTCTCTGTCCTCCCTCTCTCTGTCCCCCCCCCTCTCTGTCCCCCCTCTCTCTGTCCCCCCTCTCTCTGTCCTCCCTCTCTCTGTCCCCCCTCTCTCTGTCCCCTCTCTCTGTCCCCTCTCTCTGTCCCCCCTCTCTCTGTCCTCCCTCTCTCTGTCCCCCTCTCTCTGTCCTCCCTCTCTCTGTCCCCCTCTCTCTGTCCTCCCTCTCTCTGTCCCCCTCTCTCTGTCCTCCCTCTCTCTGTCCCCCTCTCTCTGTCCCCCTCTCTCTGTCCTCCCTCTCTCTGTCCTCCCTCTCTCTGTCCCCCCCTCTCTGTCTGTCTCTGTCCCCCCCTGTCCCCCTCTCTCTGTCCCTCTCTCTCTGTCCCGCTCTTTCTGTCCCTCTCTCTGTCCCCCCCTCTCTCTGTCCCCTCTCTCTGTCTGTCTCTCTCTCTCTCTCTCTGTCCCTCTCTCTCTGTCCCTCTCTCTCTCTGTCCCCCCTCTCTGTCCCCCCTCTCTCTGTCCCTCTCTCTGTCCCCCCTCTCTCTGTCCCCCCCTCTCTCTGTCCCCCCTCTCTCTGTCCCCTCTCTCTGTCCCCTCTCTCTCTCTGTCCCCCCTCTCTGTCCCCCCTCTCTCTGTCCCCTCTCTCTGTCCCCCCTCTCTCTGTCCCCTCTCTCTGTCCCCCCTCTCTGTCCCCCCCTCTCTCTGTCCTCCCTCTCTCTGTCCCCCCCTCTCTCTGTCCCTCCCTACTGTCTTTTGGGTATCCTCTTGTCTATGTGGATGCTGTCTCCCTTTCCGTGTGTGTCCCCTTGCCTCGGGACCTGTTTCCGACTCCTCTGACTATAATTTGTCTCCTGCTTGTTTTCTCCCATAGACTGACTACTTGCTTAAAGATTACCCAGTCACGGTGGCCATCAATCTTCAGGACGTGAGTCACATTTGGGAGGGCCCTGGGATGGAGGTGGGAACCAGACTCAAGATCCGCCACCCTCTAAGGGACAAGGCCAGTGGGCCACCTCCTGCCCCCTCAGACCTGGCGATCTGCTAGCTCAGTCTCTCAGAAGTCTGGCCCTCCATCCCCCCTCCGTGGAGCTCTCAAGACTACCCTCACTGTGGTTTCTCCCTCAGGTGCAGTGAGCCCCTCCCCTCAGGCCCGGCCCCACCCTTCCAGCAGGGGCTTTAGAGCCGTAGTCTCTCCCTTGGTATCTGGCCAGGTCCCACCTCAGGGTTTGTCCTGCCCCGCCTCACACAAGTAGCAGGCCCACCGTTTCTCATCATTCTGGTCTCTAGAAGGCCCCCACCTCCTTCAGGGCCCTGGCCCCGCCCAACCTACCTTAGGCATCTGGCCAGGCCCATCCCCTGGAGACATTTAACCTCGCCTTCTCTCAGTCATCTGGGCCCACCCATCCCTTGCAGCCATCACCCTTGAGGCTCCGCCCATCCCCTGCCAGTCCTCTGGTCCCGCCCCTCCTCTCTGTGACTTGGGCTGGCCTCGATCTGCAGGAGAAACACTGCAAGGCCTTATGGAGCCTCTTCCTGGCCCAGCGCTGGATGGAGCGCCTGAAGGTTGTGGCAGGGTCTGAAATGCAAAAACTCCTGGAGGTTGTCAACACGGAGATACATTTCGTCACCTCGTGTGCCTTCCGGGTTAGCACTGGGACTTGGTAACAAAATGAAGAGAGAGCCAAGTCCTCCCCGGGCCCTTAGTACACACAGCTCTGCTGGCTCTTTGGGGGGAGTTCTTTTGGACAGTTTACCACAGTGGTCGAGCTGGAACCTCCAAGCCCTGAGGTCACCTGGGGATCCTGTTACTGGGCCGGTGCCTCAGTAGGTGAGGAAGGCTGTTACTAAGGGGCTCTCTCCCCTAACTGGGGAACCCTGGAGTCTTTGAGACCTGGGCCCACTGGCTCTGTGTCCTCGGCAGGTTTGGGGTCTGGGTTGGTGGAGATACTGGTGTGACATGGTGCAAAGCTATCCCTCTCTGCTCCCAGCCTCTCCCAGAATGCCTTCGCTTCGTCCAGACCAACATCTCCCACCTCCTGCAGGACACCTGCATGCAGCTGTTGGCCCTGAAGCCTTGTATGGGGAAGGCTTGCCAGAATTTCTCTCGGTGCCTGGAGGTGCAGTGCCAGCCGGGTAACAGCAGCGCCAGAGCCCAGCATCCCCCAGTGCTGCTGTGGCCCACAGCCCCCAGCCTTGCCTACTGCGCTTTCGCTCTCTGGGGTTAGACTTGAGACAACTTCTTTCTTTTTTCTCTTTTTCCTTTCTTCTTTTTGTTGTTTGGTTTTGTTTTTGGGGACAGAGTTTCCCTGTGTAGCTCCTGAAACTCACTCTGTAGACCAGGCTGGCCTCAAACTCACAGAGATTCACCTGCCTCTGCCTCCCCAGTGCTGGGATGAAAGGTGTGCGCCACCACCTTACTTTTTCTTTTTAATTTTAATTTTTATGGGTGTTAGTGTTTTACACAGAATGTGTCTGGTGCTGTAAGAAGCCGGAAGAGGGTATCAGATTCCCTGGAACTGGAAATACAAGTAGTTTACAAGTATTTGTGAACCAGCACCTAGGTGCTGGGAGATGAAAGTAGGTTCAATACAAGGACAGTGAGTGCGCTTAACTGCTGATGCACCTCTCCAACCGTTTTCTTTTTCTTTCTTTTTGAGATAGGGCCTCTTTATGTGGGCTGATCTGGCCTTGGACTCAAAGCAACCCTCCTGCTTATCCTGAGTGCTGGGATTACAAGTGTGAAGCCACCACATCTGGCTTCATACCTTTTTCTTTTTTCACATTAATTATATGTAATTGTGGCTGGCTTTGTCTTCGGGTCAGCAACCGACTCTCAAATAAAGACACACTTAAATTAACCCATTTCTATTCATCTGTGTGCTGCCCTGAGGCTTGTTTACCTCACCTGTGTACCGCCTGGTCTGTCCTGGTGTCCTGCTTCCTCTGTGTCTGACTGGCTGACCCTGGGATGGCTGGCTCCCCTTTTTCTCTCTGCCCACCAGCCCCGCCTATCCCTCCTCTGCCCAGCTATTGGCTGTTCAGCTTTTTATTAGACCAATCAGGCAAGGTGAAACAGCAACACATCTTTACATAATTAAACAAATGCAGCATAAACAAATGTAATACACCTTTACATTGTTAGCAAAGGCAGCAGAAACAAATGTAACACACCTTCACATGGTTAAATAAATGCAGCATCAACAAAAGTAACACAGCTTTACATAGTTAAACAATTATTCTGCAATGCAAATAAATGTAACACAATTAAACAAACATCTCCTTTTGTTTTTTTCTTCCAGACAGGGTTTGTCTGTGTAGCCTGTGCTGGAACTCAGTCTGTAGACCAGGCTGCTCTTGAACTCAGAGATCCACCTGCCTCTGCCTCCCAAGTGCTGGGACTAAAGGCATGTGCTGCCACCACCAGGCTCTAAACAAATATTCCATTTCACAACAAATAACGTCTCATGACATTTTCTTTTTTCTTTTTCTTTCTTTTTTTTTTTTTTTTGTCTCATGACATTTTCATACTATGTTGGCTCGTCTGGCCTTGAACTTAAAGAAATCCTCCTACCTGCCTTGATTTCTGGGCTTACAGGCGTGAAACCACATCTGGCTTCATTCCCTTTCTTTTCTCATGTTTTTATCACATAATCATATGTAATAATGTGTCTCATGACTGATCCGCCAGTCCTTTCCGACTACTGCTTTTCTGTAAGCCAATGAGATAGAAAAGTTATTTACAGGGCACCTTACCAATGGCTACACTACTAAAGAAACCATCTCACTACTAAAGAAACCATCTCCTTCTGCCATGGCTGCTTGGGGAGAGGTGGGCCATGCCTTTTTATGACCCCTGTTCACCTAGTATTGAGAAGACAGAACTTCCGGTCTGTTTGTCTAGGGCAGTCCTGTCCTCTAGGAAGGGAAACGGGGTGAGCCAGCCGTGGGTTTCCGGGTAACATTTTTCTCTCTTTGTCTGTCTCTAGAATGCTGGATTAAAAGCATATGCTGCCAGGCCTGTTTTACCCCACCCCGCCCCAGGTTTTAGTTGTTTGCCCTCCATGATGGTCCTCCAGGAATTTCAGGGTTTGCCCTGGCTCTGCTCTCTCCCCAGACCCCTCTACCCTGCTGCCCCCACGGAGTCCTGGAGCCCTAGAAGCCTCAGACCTTCCAGAGTCTCGGCCCAGCCGGCTGCTCCTGCTCCTGCTGCTGCCTCTCACGCTTGTGGCTCTGGCAGCTGCCTGGGGCCTTCGCTGGCAGAGAGCGAGGAGGAGGGCTGTGCTCCGACCCGGGGTGAGCGACAGTCCAGGGCACGTGGATGGAGTGGGTGGCATGGGGTGAGGGTGGCAGAGGGCCTTGCAGGTGCACTGAGGCTGACCTTGTGGGGGCCTCAGGTGCCCCTCACCTCCCACCCCTAGGATGTGACACTTGGGCAGCGTTGACCCAGCCAGGGTCTTATCTAGGTGAGTCTTCCACTTATCCCGGAGCATGGAATGGCCAGGCTCAGGGGTAGAGAGTCAGTCCAAGACGGGGTCGGGGCGTCTCACAGGAGGGACGCAGTTCAGGGAAGTGGTGTGTGTCACGGGAAATAGCAGCCCTGATAAGCTTCCAGTGTGACCAAGCTGGGGGGGTCATGGGGGGCTGCGTGGGGAGGGTCAACAGGAGGAAGGAGGAGTAGAGAAGGCTGGTCCCCACAGGAACCGTATTTTAGGACTGGTTGTGTGTCTTACACTCATAACGTGGAGGTTCCACCTGTAGTCCAGCACTTGAGAGGCCAGAGCAGGAAGACTGCTGAAAGGTCTGGCCAGCCTGGGCTACACAGTGAGTTCGAGGCCTTTGTGAGCTAACACAGTGCACCCTTGTCTCCTGTCTCAAACAAACACACACACACTCAGTCCAGTGACACTTTTTTTTTTTTTTTTTTTGCAAAGGCTCAGTATGTTGCCCAAACTGACTCTGAGCGCCTCGATGAGTCTTCCTGTCCCAGCTTTCCATACAGCTGGGCCTATAGGCGTGTTACATACGAGGCCGTTCCTTTCCTTTGTTTTCTGGGCGCTAGAGTTGGGAACGAGCTAGGCAAACCCTGTGTCCTGAGCTACATCCCCTGCCCAGAGGACACGCTGTCCTGCATGTGGTGAGCATCTGCAGTCCCAGCCTTCTGAAGCGGATGCTGAAGCCGGAGAACACTGACTTAGAAAGAGACAAGAACATCGTAGGCCCTTGTGGTTGCTCCCGTCAGCCCAGCTCCTTAAAATGAAATGGCTGCTGGGTACGGAGCTGCATGCCTGGAATCTTAGTACTCAAGAGGCCGAGGCAGAGGGATCAAATGCCAAGGCCAGCCCGGGCAACTTAATGAGCCCTTTCTCAAAATAACAGTGAGGCGCTGAGACAGAGCTGGAGCGCGTGGCTGGGCCCTGTCCACACCACACTGCACGGGATCCCACACTGCCAAAACAGACCCCTGTCGCACGCGGGCTTAGCTAAAACAGGCTGCAACAGTTTTTAGATTTTGTGGTTCCCCATTTTCTGGGCATGTTTCTCAAAGGCACACCGTTTATCTAACAGACATAGGGGTACGTGTCTATAATCCCATTTCTGTTTGTTTATTATCCTTTGAAATGGTGTCTCTGTGGCTCACATGGCCTGGAACTCCTGGGTAATCCATTCTCCTGCCTCTACGCATGGAGCGCTGGGATCACAGGTGTGTAGTTCCTCCTTTTAAAAAATTAGTCAACCCTCCCCAAACAAATAAAAATTAAAAACTAATTACACATGGGGTTGCATAAGTGTACCATGGTGCCTGTGTACAAATCAGGGGTCTGCTTGCAGGAGCTGGCTCTCTCCTTCAACCAGGTGGATCCCAGGGATGGGACTCAGGCCCTCAGCCCTGGTGGCAGAGGCCCTTTATCCTTTAAACCAGCTTGAGGGCCATGGTTTGTTTTGTTTGTTTGTTTTGAGACAGGGTCACATTGTAGCCCCATCTGAATTTGAACTGCTGTGTAGACCATGCTGGCTTGGAACTCAAAGTTCCATCCGCCTCTGCCTCCTCAGCCGTAGGATTAAAGGTGTGTGTCATCACGCCTGGCTGTAAGACTCCTTTTGGAAAAAACCAGAAACAAAAAAAACTAGGAGCAGATTTTGTGGTGCAAGCCCCTAGTTCCTACACCCTGGAGAGGAGGCAGAAGAGTCAGGATTCAGGGTTATCTACTAAACACAGAAATTCGAGGCTAACTTAAAAGGGGGAGGGGTGGGTGTAGGGAGGGGCGGGGAGAGGTGGGAGGGTGTACCTCAGTGGTGGAGGGCCTGCCTGACAGGTGCTGGGTGCCGGGCTCAAAGGTAGAGGGCAGACTGAGAGCTGCAGCCCTCAGACAGACCACTGATAGTGCCGTTTTGCAGAGGAGGGCACCGAGGCCAAGCAGGAGTCACCTGACAGACGTTGCACAACCTGGACACACGGAAAACTGGGAGGAGGCTGGCCCCTCTTGGACCTCGCTGCCCCTCCAGCCGTCCCCCCAGGATGGAGCGGACGTCAGAGCCCCGCCCCGCCCACCCAACTCTACAGAGTCCCTGCTCCCATGGATTTGTATATAAGTGTATAAATGTTTTTACCAGCTCTTCCGGACCTATCTGTGATGGCACGGGGAGTGGGGGGGGGCTGTTTCAGGTTTCAGGGTCTTGGCTTTGCGGTGTTTGGGGATGTCATCCCAGGTCCCCAGAAGCTGAGGCAGGATCTCAAGCAGAAACCCTATGTCAAAGGCCAAAACCACGCCGACAGCAGGTTCTGCTTGTCTTCTGAGGCCACCAATGGCCCAGGGTCAGCACTGGGTGGGAAATGCTCTTTAGTGGAAGCCGGCGTGCGGCAGAAGCAGCCCGATTCAGGCTCATGGCAGCCAAGCGGCAGGGAAACAGTGCTGGGCCTCCAGGAGGAATCGGCTCCGGCTGGGATGTTTGGGGGTTCTAGAGAGCACTGTCAGTGAGACTGCCCGTCTTTGGGGGGACACGTCAGGGAGGGCGTCTAAGATAACATCCGCGGCACACACACAGGACTTGGCAACAGAAGCCGGGCTGGGAGGCTCAGGGACCTGCAGGCGCTCCCCTCGCCCATCGCTTCGTCTAGGAAAACGACCCCCAGCTGCATTGTGCCCCGCAGCTCTGGACCAGGGGCGGCCAGCAGCTGTGGCGCACACCAGGCGCTAGAGCGGAGGGAACGCGAACCGCTGCGCGCCGGCCAGGGCTCCGGCGCGCCCCCTGATGGCCACCACGTGTTCTGCAAGCGTGCGCTGGGGGCGGAGGAATGGCGCTCCCCGCGGCGCAGGCGAGCGCGCACCGGCACTCCCTCCAAGCATGGCCGCCGGGGCTGGACGGCCTCGGCCCGCCCCGCACAGCCATGGCCGCCGAGGTCCCACTCACGCGCTACCCTGATTGGACAAGCCAAAGGTGGCCCACCCCCCCGGCGCACGCGGGCCCAGCGCCCCGACCAATGACAAGACAGCAAGCCTTGGGCTCGGCCCGGGCCGCGTCACTTCCTCCGCCCCTGCAGCAAGGGATAAGAAACCCTGCGCCAAGACCTCCTCCTTTCCCGGGCGGCTGCCGAAGATGGCGGAGGGACAGGTCGGGCTCTGCGCGCGCCGGGCGGTGTGGGGGTCGGGTGGGCGCCAGGCGGGAGCGCAGTGGGGGCGCCCGCGCCGCGCCGCGCGAGCAGTGGGACTTAAGGACGGCGGTTAAGCGGAGGAGGAACGCTTTGGCGCCAGGGCAGTGTAACGTGGGCGTAGCGAGCCGCGGATGTCTCTAGGTACGGGGCGACGAGGGCGCTACGCCTGCCCGGGGCCGCGCGGGCCTGGGGCTTGGCTTCCCAGCGCCCGCTGAGGGCTCGGGCTTCGCGGCAGGCAGTTGGGGTGCGGGGAGCTCGTGGCCCTGGGCGAGGGGGGACGGCAGGGATGGAGGCGCCCGGCTACGGTGCCGGCTTCCCCGCAGCTGCTGAGAGCAGCGTGCCGGCTGCTGCCGCGGCCCACGTGTGCTGAGTGAACGCGAGGCACGTGGAAAGCAGACGTACGCTGAAGTAGCGTGGGGTTGCGGCTGGTCAGGAACCGGATTTCACCTCCCCTGTTAAGATGTCTTAGAGGCAAGCCACTAATGCGAAAGGCTGTAGAATGATGCTGTCTGGAGCGTGTTTAGTTTACGTGCTCGGAGGATCCCAGGGATATTCCTGTGTGGGGATCTCCTGGTTTGGGCTGGGTTACAAGCACATGCCGGCCGTGAGAGGCGAAGACTGCCCACCGCTTGCCAGAGTTACAGACAGGACAGCTTACGCCGAGTTGATAGGGTTATAAGATGGTCCTGTTGAGGCTGTGAAAGCCACTGTGGCCTAAACCTAACCCAAAACAAAGTCCTAGGATAGAGTTTATTATGGCACAGGGTGTTTGCACAAGAGCCAGCAGATTCCCGCTAAACAGCCGCTTGAGGCTTTTGGTGAGGCTCGTTTAAGATCGCAGGAGCTTGCAGTCTTGATTATGTATGCTGGAGCAGCCTTAGGCTTTCAGAGGGGTTTGTTGCGCCCCTTTGGGCACTGTCTGGTTAATTTGGCATCCCGTGGGAAAAGGCACTGGAGTGAGGGGTTGGTAAGTAGGCAGGGACAGCCTGACTGCTTCCTAAGCCTTTTTGTCTCCCACAGGTTCTAGTGTTGGATGGCCGAGGCCATCTTCTGGGCCGCCTGGCGGCCATTGTGGCAAAGCAGGTACTACTGGGTAAGTTTCATTCAGAATTTGTTTGCCTGCGAGTCAGTGATGAGCAACAATCACCATCTTTCGTTTGAGTCTCACGACAATGAGATCAACCCATGCACCGCTCTGAGACTCGCCAGTCCCGCCTTGTCCCGGACCCCTGGCTCGTTTGATTTTGGAGCAGGAGATTGGCTTTCCATCCGGGCTGTGGTTTTGCTGGATCTTGGGTGACTTTCCTGACTGTCTACACAACCCATGTTCTCTCTAGGCCGGAAGGTAGTCGTTGTCCGCTGTGAAGGCATCAACATTTCTGGAAATTTCTACAGGAACAAGTGTGAGTGAGGGCCTGGGCATCGTCTGGGAGTGGTGCTGACTTGGGTGTAAGGGCCTGTTTATGGGACTGAGGCCTCAATTTTCCTTCTGACAGTGAAGTACCTGGCGTTTCTCCGAAAACGGATGAACACCAACCCTTCTCGAGGACCCTACCACTTCCGAGCCCCAAGCCGCATTTTCTGGCGCACTGTGCGAGGTGAGCTGGGGCTGTGGGTAACATGGAGAATGGGGGATCTGGCAGCCTGTGATGAGGATATCTCCCACTCATGTTCGAGTTTCCCGACTATGAGACAACTCTACATGCACTACCATCTGAGGCTAGCTGGTCTCCCTGCTCTGGGCTAAGAGGGTTTTTCAGCCCATCTGAAGGCGCCTGCCTATCCCACAGGCATGCTGCCCCACAAGACCAAGCGAGGCCAGGCTGCCCTGGAGCGCCTCAAGGTGTTGGATGGGATCCCTCCACCCTATGACAAGGTGAGCCGCACAGCCTAGCCTCCACAGCCTGTGTCCAGCGTCTGTGATGTGCTATTACCTACATTGTTTGAACCTCATGAAAACGACACTGGCTGAGACGCCGCCCCGCCAGCCTCCTTCCCAGGTGTTGCTCACAAAAGTTCTCTGAGCCCTTCTCCTTCTCTAACAGAAAAAACGGATGGTGGTCCCCGCCGCCCTCAAGGTTGTACGGCTGAAGCCTACCAGAAAGGTAAGCTCAGTTGCAGAGTGGTCTCGTCTCGGTGGCACCTCAAGACTGGCAGATGATGGTTTTATCTCACGATGGTCTGCGGATGCCACTGATTGGCAGTGTCGATAATGCCACAGGCTTAACTGATGCCAGGAGGGGCTCCGGCGTAGGGGGATTTGTCCTTTACTAGAATCTCTAGGGTCCTTTAGCTCACCCTTGTGCTGCTGGGGCACCTTCCATGTCCTTACAGCCTTGTGCCCCTGCAGTTTGCCTACCTGGGGCGTCTGGCTCATGAGGTCGGGTGGAAATACCAGGCAGTAACGGCCACACTGGAGGAGAAAAGGAAGGAAAAGGCCAAGATCCACTATCGGAAGAAGAAGCAGCTCTTGGTGAGGACAGGACCTGCACCCTGGCGTGTGGGGGTAATCCTGGGAGAAGCAGCCACTCACTACCCTGTTTCTTCACCCCACAGAGGCTTCGGAAACAGGCAGAAAAGAATGTGGAGTCGAAGATCAGCAAGTTCACAGAGGTCCTCAAGACCAATGGACTCCTGGTGTGAGCCCAATAAAGACTTTGTGCTAATGCCTGCCTGGCCTGCCTTCCTCCACCGCCGACCAGGGGAGTTGGGGGACTGTAGGAGGGGGCTTACAAAGCTGAGAGCCCATCACCTGCCTGATGAGCTTTACTAAAGATAACTGTCTGACCCAGCGCCATATTCCGTAGCTCTGAGAATGGCTGCCATACCTGGGCTGGGATTTAGAAGTAAACACTGGGAAGTGTACTGCCTTGGCCCCTTCAACACTTAACCAGAAAGCAGCTTCGCTTTCTTGCTGCAGGGTACTATTAATAAATTATTTGACTTGAACTTGGTGTCTTTGCTGTGTCTGCTGTGTAGGCAGGGGCAGAGGGGCATCAAAGATTGGCCTCTCAGTGGGCTGTGCTTCAGGCCCCACCCTCTGTCAGAGGCAGGATGGGGGATCCAGGCCTGAGAATTACAGGGGCTTTTTAAGACTTGGATAGTAGGCTTAGAAAGGGTGAGTTTGGATCAGGCAGTGAACCTGGCAAGAACGGTCTATACATACACACTCTGTAGACCAGTCTGAGTCTAGTGCTTAACCACCTGTGAAGATTTTTAACGTGAGATTGAGGCCTGACTGCTGCTGCCTTTAGAGCTGGGATTAATGAATTGTCATAGTGCACCTATGGATGGGTGGGTTTCTGAGTGACTCACCCTCAACTATAATTTCTATTCCCTCTGAGAGAAAAGCTATGTGCTGGGGAATGGTGGCACAACTCTCTAATTACAGTAATTTTAAAAGTAGTAGCAGTAGGACCTCTGGGTTTGAGGTCAGCTTGGCCTACAGAGTGATTTTCTAGACAGCCATGTCTACACAGAGACCCTTTCTTGGAAAGAAAAAATACTGAATCTCTTGATTCAGCCTTGTGCAGGAAGCGAGTTCCGGGACAGCAGATGTGTTGACACAAACCTTTCTGGAAAAGCCATGTGCTAATGTACCCTTGTCATTTTGGAGTGGATGAGTTGGCCAGCCTGGGCTAAAGCTGGTAGACGTCCTGTCACACCCACGGGTCACAAGTGAAGTGTGACGTTTGGAATTGGATCGGTCTGTCCGCTCAAATCAGAAGTCCTCCCGCTTCATAGGAGTTTGTGGGGTGCGTGCTACCATGAACACAGACGTCTCTGACCCTTCCTCTTTGTCCCCCCCCTCGATGGGGAGAGACCACTGCAATGTTTCCTTCAAAGTCAGATTTGTGAAGGCCGTTTCACTGCTGGCCCGAACCGGCCGAGTGCTGGTGCTGGGATTAAGCGCCGACGCCATTCGCCGCGACGGCAGGCATGAAGCTTCGGCTGTGCAAGCTCTTCTGGCTCCACTGGCCGGTGTGGGGCGCCCACCGCAGCGGGCCGTCCTCTCGGGCCAGCCTGTGACTCAGGCCCTGAGCGAACACGCCCGATGTCACGCTGGCGGTTCAGAAAAGCCACACTCCGGTCGCACGCGCCCGCCCTCTCCTACGACGCCCGCAGGAAAGATGGCCTCCGCCGCCTCGCGCCAGGACGCCCAGAACCAGCCCGCGGGGCCCCGGGCCCACGTGACCGCACGCCGGCAGGGACGCCCCGCCCCCTCGACTCTCGCGACACTACAGGACGCCACGCCCCAGCCTGGAGTAACAGCCCGGGCGATGGCCGCTTGAGGTCTCGCGAGATGGCAGGCTCCGCCTCCCGCCCCCATAGTCCTCCACCATCATGGCGGCGTACGGACGGTCGCCAGGTCGCGTGCTCGGTACCGGAAGTGCCTCCTAAACCCGTCCAGGGCTGCTCCTTACGCCACTTCCGCTCCAGCGCGCAGAGAATAAGGGACGCCGGAGCGGGCGCGCCTCCCTTTCCCTCCGGCGGCCGGGAAGATGGCGGACATTCAGGTTCGTCCGGGCTGTGGGCTGGCGCCCAGTGCGGGCCCGCGCTGCTCTGGGGCCCTGCTCCCCGGTGCCGTGGCGCTTAGCCGGAGCCAGGGCGTCCGGAGGGGCCCGGGCCCTCCGAGCCCTGCCCTCCTGCCTCCGCCTGGAGCGCCCGGGAGGCAGGGCTGGCCCCGGCCCAGCCCGGGGTGTGTGCTTTGGAAGACCAGCGTGCCCCAACGCCGTCCCAGCTCAGCCGGGGCTCTGGGCGGCGGGACGTGTCGGATCCCAGGGCGTGAGCTAAAGCGAGTGCGGGGTGACTGGTGTAGACGGGCGCCTGCTGCAGCGGTGGTCTCAGCACGCTGTTAATAATCCCTACAGACAGAACGTGCTTACCAAAAGCAGCCCACCATCTTTCAAAACAAGAAGCGTGTTCTGCTGGGAGAAACCGGCAAGGAGAAACTCCCCCGGTACTACAAGAACATCGGTCTCGGCTTCAAGACGCCCAAGGAGGTAGGTGCAGGACAGGACCCCAACACATGGGTCTCATGTGGCCCCGGCCTGGGGGGAGCATCGCCACCCCGCCCTTTTTGGAGCTGCTGCCTCTGGGGCTCCTGGGAACTGTAGTTTGGGTCCCTGGGGCTACATTCTTGGTTGAGTTTATGAACCCGTAGTCCAAACGGTACTTCCTCATCCTTTCAGGCCATCGAGGGCACCTACATAGACAAGAAATGTCCCTTCACCGGTAACGTCTCCATCCGAGGTCGCATCCTGTCCGGTGAGTGAGGGCAAAGCGCCTCCAGGTCCCTGAATCGGGACCACTGGCAGATGATGTCCATTTTCTCGATGGTCTTCAGACATCCCCAAGGGCCACTGCTGAGACGCCGATGGGAAGCAAGGCTGGTGCCACAAACGGGCGTTGTTTGGTGGGGCCCCACTCAGCGGCTGCATCTGAATTACTGTGGCCTGCTGACGCCTTCCTCCCCACTCCCCCCAGGCGTCGTAACCAAGATGAAGATGCAGAGGACCATCGTCATCCGTCGGGACTACCTCCATTACATCCGCAAGTACAACCGCTTTGAGAAGCGCCACAAGAACATGTCCGTGCACCTGTCGCCCTGTTTCAGGTGAGTACAGTTCTCTCCCACAGCCTGGGCCAGTCGGGCTGCTGGGGGGGGCCCATTTGGACAGGGTGGCTTTGGGAGACAGTGGGGTGTCCTGTGGGCAGAGCAGAGTGAACGCTGGTTCTAGAGCGTGATGACGGCTGGGGGTGGGCAGTCAGGGAAGCCGGTGCCAAACATCAGGGAGAAGGGACAGTTTGTTACTCTTGGCAAATGTGGGGGGGAGCCGAGGTGGGCACCCTTAGCCTGTCCCTGGGGAGAAGGGCTGTGAAGAAGGCCCCTCTAAAGACCCCCACTTGCCTAACTCCACAGGGATGTGCAGATCGGGGACATTGTCACCGTGGGAGAGTGCCGGCCCCTGAGCAAGACCGTGCGCTTCAACGTGCTCAAGGTCACTAAGGCTGCTGGCACAAAGAAGCAGTTTCAGAAGTTCTGAGGACTCTGGCTGACTCCCTGGAACAAATAAAGTTATTTTCCAGCTTAAGACATGGCTTGGAGTCTTCTGTGTCCTGGACCAGAGTGGGGGTTGGCAGGGCTCTCCCTTGGGGTTCTCCGACCTGGGGGTGCCCTGCTGTCTTTCCTTCAGCTGTTTTCTGTTGTTTTTTTGTGCCTTGATAGACTTTGGCATCCAGGTAGACAGTTAGCTGCTGTTGCAGGCCCCTGGCCTCCAACCCCCAGTCTCTTGGGAGGAAGTTAAGTGAGGGTGGGCCTCTGTGCCTCAGGGTAGCCTGGCCTTTCCCATTGGGCCTCTGGCATTCCTGCAGCTAAAGAGTGAACAAGGTAAGACACCAGGGGAGGGCAAGCTCTCCACCTTAGTATCGGTCTGCTCAAATACCTACTTCCGCAGAGCTTCCACTTGAGAGGCCTTGTGCCCAGGGCAGGGACAGGGTGGGGTAGGGCAGAGGACCCCAGCATGGTTGGTATGGACGTGGGATTAGTGGGGACACCCACTCAGGAAAAGGACCCAGGGCATCCCGAGGTATGCGGTAAGGGCACAGACAGACCTGGAACGAGAAGCCGCCGCTGCTGGGGTCCCCAGGTCCCTGGCCCCCAGGCCTGTACCAGGGTCTGAAGTCCAGCGCTGGTACAAGGGTTGGGAGACAGGGCCTTGGGAAGAGTCCGCCGCCGCCTGTGAGAGATGTGTCGCACCTCCCCGGGCCCTTCAGCCTTTTAGGCTGCTGAGGGAGGGGGTTCCTGTCAAAGGAAGTGGTCCGCGTCAAAGCGAGCAGGAAGGGGCAGGGACAGGTCAGGGGGCCACCGCCCAAGCTGGGAGCCTGTCAGCCACCCTGGGGGAGGGACTGTGCAAGGGACAGGGACCCTGAGGAATGAACCCCGTTGTTTAGAGGTGTGGCCCCCCCCAACCACAGGTGCTTCCGTTCGGGTGGGGCCTGTGTTTACAACAGCCCAGTTCCCTCATTTGCTCGAGTGGTTGGTGAGGTACCCTTGTCAGGCCTACAGGGGGGAGAAGACTCCTGGGGACCCTCCAACACTCTTACCTGAAGAGGGGAGCTTATGGTTGGGCCCTCCTTGCACAGCTGAAGAGCCCAGCGGTTTCCCTCTGTCCTTCCCCACGGCTCTCTGGCTTGCTCAAATCCCAGTGCCAGCCAGACCTGGCACCTCCATTCCAGGCAGCAGTGTCCTCCCTGATGTTTTTAATTATTTTGACAGTCTTGCTGTGCCCGTGGCTGGCCTGAAGCTCCCTATGTAGACCAGCTTGGCCTCAGGCAGGCAACTCTCTGCTCCTCCTGTCTCGTGGGTGTTCAGCCGGTTTTTCTCTGTAGACCCAGCTGCCTCTGCCTCCCAAGAGCTGGGATTAAAAGTAAGTGCCACCGCCGTCCAGTTCCTTTTCATCTTTAACCTTGGGCACCTGTTTCCATCTGGCAAATGTCCAGCTCCAATCACTTGTAGACATCAGTGGTAATCCAGATACTGAGGAGGCTGAGCTGAGGCAGGAGGATTGTCAAAAGTCAGAGACCAGCCTGGGCAATTTAGACCCTGTCTCGATCAAAACTAAAGAGCTAGGGATGTGGCTCAAAGCTGTGACGCCTGCCCAGAGGCCACCAGCAAGGGCTTGTCTAGACTGAGCCTCATAGACCTGGTATTACAGCATTGGGAGACAGATTTGAGGAGGAGACCCTGCCTCAAAAATAAACATGCTGGACAGGCGCTCAGGAGACAGACAGGCGGATCTACAAAGCTACACAGAGAAACCCTGTCTCGAAAAAGAAAAAAAAAAAAAAAAAAAAACACCCAGCATAATGGTATGGTTGGTGTACACCTTTAATCCCAGCACTCAGGAGGCAGACAGGTCTGAGAGCAGCCTATCTGCATAGTGGGAACCCTTTCCAAAGTGAAAATATCTATGTGAGCCTGCCACAGACTCTCGGAGGTCAAAGTAGCCCCCTTCCACATGTGGGCCTTCATGCTTGGCAACAAGAGCCTCTACCCACCAAACCATCTCTCTAGCCCACACTTCCTCCTCCGTTCTCCTAATCAGACAGTTGAACCTACTTCCTGCCTGTTTGTTGCAAAGACTAAGACTGTCTGTCCCCCTCATCATCCCTGGAAGTGAAAAGGAGCAGGTAACGCCAGGTCGGTGTCCTGAGACTGAGTCCCAGCTCTCAGCAGCTCTGTGGCCTTGAATAATTGACTCACAACCACAGACCCTCATTTGTAAAGGGTGTCCCACCAGCAGCTGTCCAGGTGGGACTCTAACTCAGGGACCAATGCCCTTTGGCAGGTCGCTGTAGAGGTTTTCTATGGTAGGAAACCTTGGGGCTTTTACAGCAAGCTCTGGCATCGGGTTAGTGTGTGTGTTCCTGGAAGATATGTAGCGGGTTAGTGTGTGTGTTCCTGGAAGATATGTAGCGGGTGAGTGTGTGTGTTCCTGGAAGATATGTAGCGGGTTAGTGTGTGTGTTCCTGGAAGATATGTAGCGGGTTAGTGTGTGTGTTCCTGGAAGATATGTAGCGGGTGAGTGTGTGTGTTCCTGGAAGATATGTAGCGGGTGAGTGTGTGTGTTCCTGGAAGATATGTAGCGGGTTAGTGTGTGTGTTCCTGGAAGATATGTAGCGGGTTAGTGTGTGTGTTCCTGGAAGATATGTAGCGGGTTAGTGTGTGTGTTCCTGGAAGATATGTAGCGGGTTAGTGTGTGTGTTCCTGGAAGATATGTAGCGGGTTAGTGTGTGTGTTCCTGGAAGATATGTAGCGGGTTAGTGTGTGTGTTCCTGGAAGATATGTAACATGGCATATGTGGTGGAGGAAATTGGCTCCAGGTAAGACTTCTCAGCAGGGTTCTGGCTTTTGCTTTGTGAGACTGGGTTTCCTCTGTGTAGCCCTGGCTGTCCTGAAACTCACTCTGTAGACCAGGCTAGCCTTGAACTCACAGAGATCCATCTGCCTCCCAAGTGCTGGAATTAAAGGCGTGTGCCACCACTGCCTAGCACAGGGTCCTGGTTGGTGATGGCAGGCTTCAGGCCCACCAGCTGCCGACAGGGCAGGCCTGGCTCGGCTAATACTGTGGCATGGTCTGACCCTAGTATGAAAGATGACTGGAATATTCTAAGGGAGGCAGAATGGCCAGTAGGTGTTGCTGCTACTCCGTTTGAGTTTTGTCTGACTGTCGCTGTCAGGGAAGTCACTGTTTAGCCCAGTTAGCCTCAGATTCATAATCACCCTCCTGCCACAGCCTCCAAAATGCTGGGACTGCAGGTAGGTGTGAGCCCTGGCTCCCTGTGTGCTACTGAAATGAACACAGACTGACTTTTGTTTGTTAGTTCTGAGACAGGGTCTCTGCATAGCTCTGACAGACCTGAAACTCACTGTGTAGACCAGAATGGCCTTGAACTCACAGAGGTCTTCCTGTTGGGACTGAATGTCCTGTGCTACCATGCCTGGCCCTGGTTTTTTGTTTGTTTGTTTGTAGGTTCTTTTCTCTCTCTCTCTTTTTTTTTTTGTTTTGTTTTGTTTTTTAGACAGGGCTTCTCTTGCTTTGGAGGCTGTCCTGGAACTCGCTCTGTAGACCAGGCTGGCTTCGAACTCAGACATCTGCCTGCTTCTGTCTCCTGAGTGCTGGGAGTAAAGGCGTGTGCCAGCACTGTCTGCCTGTTTTTGTGTTTTGGTTTTGTTGAGTTTTTGTTTTGAGACAGGTCTGTACTATGTACCTCAGGCTATCCTCAAACTTGTGGCATTACACCTGCCTCTCACTTGTTTCCCTCACCCAATCCAAGCTGGCCTTGCGGCCTGTACCTGAGGGTGACCTTGAACTTGTGATCCTGTCGCTCGCTACCACCTCTTGAGGAAGAATTCTACCAAAACCAGAATGTTTAAAGAGATTTTTCTTGGGAGAGATGGCTAAGAGGTTAAGAGCACTGGCTGCTCTTCCAGAGGACCTGGGTTCGATTCTCAGCACCCACATGGCAGCTCACAGCTGTCTATAACTACAGTTCCAGGGGGTCTGACACCTTCACACCAATGCACATTAAAAAAAAAGTTTCTTCCTTAACCTAGTAGTGGCGGTGCGCTCCTTTAATCCCAGCACTCGGGAGGCAGAGGTAGACGGATCTCTGTGAGTTTGAGGCCAGCCTGGTCTACAGAGCAAATTCTAGGGCGGTCAGGGCTACACCATGAGACCCTGTCTTGAAAAACAAAACAAACCAAAAAGCCCTTTAAATTACAGTTATTTCGTTAGTATATGCCTGTGCCACAGAGCGCATGCGGAGGAGACAAAGGCGCTGGCTGGAGCGGCCCAGGAGTAGAGAAACACTTGGGCACAGAGGGCGGGGGTGGGGAG